GACGGGTCTGTTGCCTTTTAAAGATTGAATTGTTTTCCAACTAGCAGTTGTTTCACGTGATGTCGCATTCAGCAGTATAGAGTATCATTAAGCAATAACTCTTGATCCTGATCCGTGGAACTAACGGGTCAATAATTTGCGATCAATATTTGCAGTGATGTTAAGTCAGGGATCGAGTGCGACTTCTGTAGTCAGTTTGCATGATCGTAGAATCGACACGAATGTTATTGGCTTGATGAGCACAGTAGTCGGATGCAAGTCTATCACGGTATCAGTGTCAGGACAGAAGATGTTTAATAATCGATTTTTCTTGATACTTAGTATAATTTGATTCCCAAATCAGACGTTAACGGAGTTAACGATCCGCAGTTGAATTCGCTTTACTGCTCAGTATGAGGGTCTTGATATATATATATTTCGGAGTGAAAACAGTTGAGAAATTGATGTGCTTAAAGGAAGAAGGCCCTCGCTGCTAACTGAACAGTTATAGACCATTGTACAAGGGAGCAAAACTCTCATGTGCATTTTGTTTAAAAAAACTGAATATCCATCTTCTCTTTGAACGCATTTTTCTAAGCTTTTCTGGATATTCATTGACTGCTACTCAATTGAAAGCAAATGCTACAGAGCGGCTCCTCAAATTCCACAATAGATCCCACTTTTCAAAGGACGCAAAGCGGAGTTACTGGACAACATACTTCATGCATGCACCCATCAGTAGTATCACCGTAACAGTGGTAGTTGGGTTTAATTTGTAGAACCGCGTTTTTCAAAAGAAGGATCATTCGGTTAGACCAGTGTGGCTTTACAGCTAACCTGGACGGCCTTCTTTTTGATGTTCATGACATTTTATATTGACTGGGTCAAATCGATCCCACGATGTCTCCACGGCCGGTGTGTCTACAGAATTTGCTTGCTTTCTAAATAAAATATTTGACAACTGGGAATTGGTAACCCGACCGCGAAAATGTGCCATTTACGGCAAGTGAAATTAACTTCTGGATAAACTGCATTGTCCTTCATAAAACATAGGGCTAGGTGTGTCATTTTCTAATGTTCGACTAGCGTTTAATATCTGTCGTTCGTTATTTGACAAGATTAGGACACTTCACCAAAAATGTGCGTCACGCGAGCCTCTATCAATCGTACACAGCGAATTCAGCTGGCTTGCCGTTCCCTAATTTTTTTTCGTATATGGGGCTTCACTTTTACCGGGAATCCATCGTTAATTTGGCGTTTTTCCTCGACGTTTTGTGTTATTCGTTTTATCTATCCCGATATTTTGTTATCACAGCATTTGTCAGGATTAATTTAACTTGCTAAACCTATATCAGCTTCGAGCAGGACTGCATGCAAAGCATACGTATCCATGCGTAAACCGACTCAGTGCCGGATATGTGTCATTTTATCAGATAGTCGCCTAATTATCCGTCTTGCTTGAGAACCACAAATCTATGGAAAAATTGAATAAGGGAAAATTGTCAAGCTGCCAATTGCAAATCTCAGAAGCAGCATATCGGCGTGCTGTTCGTTCTCAAAACAGTCCTCAACAAACGTGCTGCCAAACCGACAGATCTTTCTTTGTGTCGCGCTCCTGGAAACGTCATACTAAGGAAGCTCTTAAATCATAGCGATCGCACAAGAATGGTACCATCACAATAAATAAAATAAATAAATGAATGAATACACTAGTCACACTGGAAAAGTAATTAACAGTTATATATGCGATATAAATACACATGCACGCCCTTGTACCGTAGGTATGGAAAACCTTTCTGTGGACGTGCGTCTGATTCCTAAAATGCTATTGTGCAAATACCGACTGTAATAATTTAGCTACATATAGCAAACAGTTTGAACGTTTGCAAACTTTACGAAATTTTATGCTTATACCACCGCGTCAGAATGGTCGCACATGTCGCAGGATACCTATACAGAATGAACTAAGCCGGCGACGTTGTCTTCTTATTAAATGTTATGTATGTGCGTTGTTTGGTCAAACATTTAATTAGAGTTTACCAACAAGCAGAGGGTTCAAAGTTGATTGGTCTTTGCTAACAAATCTTTTGAAAACTGCTTATGCTGCGCTCTATTTTGGCTAACTCAGATTTTTTGACAAGCACAGTTTTGTCAGGGTGTGAATGTTATCGGATCGAACCATGCTTCGGTAACCCAAGCAATAGTCGTCTTTCCCAGAAAGGAGCTACGGCCCCAGATGGTTTTGCCCAAGAAATATGCATTATTGGGTAGTACTTTTTGTCGGATGATACCAAAAAGTTTCCTAATCTGTTACATGTTGTGCATGGTGGTTACCCTCATAGATACTGTAGCCTCTGAATGAGAACAGGAATAATTTCCGCAGGAATCGATAGTTATATTTTCCATTTGCGTTGTGTTCCCCGTTTAGGAATGCCAACAAGTCAAGAATATGGCGGTATGTATATTGTCTCTATTTTCTTTGTTATCTTTTTGAAAACAAAGGGTTAATAGAATATGTCCATTCACACTATGATGTACAGGTGCACGGGTTCAGAAAATGAATTAATGAAACAAAGCTTCAGGGAGAAAAGTCTAACAACAAGTGATTTACTTCTGCAAACCATGAAAACCTAAGACACTGCGCAGAAGAACCTGTAGAGAACAAGTTCTGAACCCGATCGAGTACCAATTAGGGGGGAGCTCGGATAAGTTGGAACTCCGATTCCGTCCGCATTTTTCTGAATCAGTGAAAGGTTCGGTTGACAAACGAAGGAATCGTTTTTCCTAGCATTTATTGATGATCTCAGGCCACTTTAGTTTGGCAAGTGAGTAATAACATGCAGACAACCGCAGAATGCGCAATGCCACGAGCAACAGTACTCACAGCCGGGGACAATCGCCAGGTGATTTCGCCTTGAGTGGTGAAAAGAACTTGCTGAGGCCACGCATTTCCTTCCCAAAAAATTTGAGCTGTTGATTAGTTTAGTATAACAACCTGAAAATCACGAACAAGAACCTCGAAGGGCTCTACAGAAAAGCACAATGACCAGCAAGTAACAAGTTGCTGCGGTACATTGACGAAAATTTTCATAAGTGAACACACTTCCGAACAGGATGTCACGTCAGACAGGTTTGCACTCCGCGGTAACTTCATTTCATTAGGCGCTGAATTTACACTTAAAATGGTCACGTATGATGCAACCTGAGTGAAAACCGTATGCAATCCTTGTGTCTGTGAATGATTTTATAAATCGCTGCTGTTTTTGCAGTGCAATAGCACAGAAACAAAGGTCGAAGTAATAAAGACTTCTGTCCAAATAAAAGGGGCAAGAGAATCAGTATATCGGAGATTAATTTACACAAATGAGCCCAACGAGAATTTTATTCAGGCAGTTGTCAAATGAGAAAGTGCACTAAGAGAAATCAAACTAGTACTCGGTAAAAGAAAATCTGACCATCACCGTGGTCTGATATGTAGTGTCCAAAANTTTGAACGTTTGCAAACTTTACGAAATTTTATGCTTATAGCACCGCGTCAGAGTGGTCGCACATTTCGCAGGATACCTATACAGAGTGAACTAAGCCGGCGACGTTGCCTTCTTATTAAATGTTATGTATGTGCGCTGTTTGATCAAACATTTAAATAGAGTTTACCAACAAGCAGAGGGTTCAAAGTTGATTGATCTTTGCTAGCACATCTTTTGAAAATTGCTTACGCTGCGCTCTATTTTGGCTAACTCAGATTTTTTGACAAGCACAGTTTTGTCAGGGTGTGAATGTTATCGGATCGAACCATGCTCCGGTAATCCAGGCAATAGTCGTCTTTCCCAGAAAGGAGCTACGGCCCCAGATGGTTTTGCCCAAGAAATATGCATTATTGGGTAGTACTTTTTGTCGGATGATACCAAAAAGTTTCCTAATCTGTTACATGTTGTGCATGGTGGTTACCCTCATAGATACTGTAGCCTCTGAATGAGAACAGGAATAATTTCCGCAGGAATCGATAGTTATATTTTCCATTTGCGTTGTGTTCCCCGTTTAGGAATGCCAACAAGTCAAGAATATGGCGGTATGTATATTGTCTCTATTTTCTTTGTTATCTTTTTGAAAACAAAGGGTTAATAGAATATGTCCATTCACACTATGATGTACAGGTGCACGGGTTCAGAAAATGAATTAATGAAACAAAGCTTCAGGGAGAAAAGTCTAACAACAAGTGATTTACTTCTGCAAACCATGAAAACCTAAGACACTGCGCAGAAGAACCTGTAGAGAACAAGTTCTGAACCCGATCGAGTACCAATTAGGGGGGAGCTCGGATAAGTTGGAACTCCGATTCCGTCCGCATTTTTCTGAATCAGTGAAAGGTTCGGTTGACAAACGAAGGAATCGTTTTTCCTAGCATTTATTGATGATCTCAGGCCACTTTAGTTTGGCAAGTGAGTAATAACATGCAGACAACCGCAGAATGCGCAATGCCACGAGCAACAGTACTCACAGCCGGGGACAATCGCCAGGTGATTTCGCCTTGAGTGGTGAAAAGAACTTGCTGAGGCCACGCATTTCCTTCCCAAAAAATTTGAGCTGTTGATTAGTTTAGTATAACAACCTGAAAATCACGAACAAGAACCTCGAAGGGCTCTACAGAAAAGCACAATGACCAGCAAGTAACAAGTTGCTGCGGTACATTGACGAAAATTTTCATAAGTGAACACACTTCCGAACAGGATGTCACGTCAGACAGGTTTGCACTCCGCGGTAACTTCATTTCATTAGGCGCTGAATTTACACTTAAAATGGTCACGTATGATGCAACCTGAGTGAAAACCGTATGCAATCCTTGTGTCTGTGAATGATTTTATAAATCGCTGCTGTTTTTGCAGTGCAATAGCACAGAAACAAAGGTCGAAGTAATCTTCTGTTCTGTCCAAATAAAAGGGGCAAGAGAATCAGTATATCGGAGATTAATTTACACAAATGAGCCCAACGAGAATTTTATTCGTTGTCAATGCAATGAGAAAAGTGCACTAAGAGAAATCAAACTAGTACTCGGTAAAAGAAAATCTGACCATCACCGTGGTCTGATATGTAGTGTCCAAAATAAACTTCCATATGATATCATTGATAAGGTGGATACTGAACGGAGTACAGCGACAGTTCCCGTAAAACATTGTTTTGCACGTTTTCCGTTTGCACTGTGTCCGCGTTTATTTCTTCTTGTTTAATGTATGTCACCGGGTCAAGAATATGGCAGTAAGCATTTTATCTGAGTTGTCACTGTTTTATCTTTCAAACTGGGTGTGGGCGAGTTGTAATTGATTTGCACTGTGTCCGCGTTTGCTTCTGCTTGTTTTAGAAATGTCACGGGGTCAAGAATATGGCAGTAAGCATTTTATCTGAGTTGTCACTGTTTTATCTTTCAAACTGGGTGTGGGCGAAATTGTTGTAATTGCAAGATTCAACTTAAGACTTAATTCTGACTCCTGGCCGGCAAATTCAGCGGCAAGTTCGGCAGCATGTTTCATCACCGAGAAATGATCCTGACTCATTTCGGTTGCGTAATAACCCACGTAGAAGGAACTGGTCTGCGAAAGCTGTTTCCAGTGTTGTGTAGTCGCAGATCCAGACCGACTCCCGTTGTGAATTCGCTTCATCGCATTTGATGCATGGGACTAATTCATCCAAGTGATGTTGGCTTGGCAACCACAGCAAGCCATAACATATCTCGAATCAGGATGGAACTGACGACTTGAAAGACTCAGATGAATTAGGTTATATGACGTGATACCAAAAGTTGTTCAGATTTTACAAGCAATTTTTACGCAATTTTTTGAAAAATAAAACTGAGCAATTTCCGAGTGCACCCGTGTGACAATTTTTACGTATACCAAATTTAGCTGAATCAGGTAGGCACCTTAATTGATTTGGTTATACTGATGTCTCTTTGAAGTCCTTCGGGAAACTTATCTTCAGGCTTGTGTCAGGAATATTCAATTTTTGTGAATGTGTGGTCGGGTTCAGCGCGATCAGTTCACAGAAGGTTTTTTCAGAGATGATTTAAGGGTGCGTTTTATGCGTCTTCAAAATGTTTCTTACATAGCTAGTAACTGGTTAGTGGAACGTTTCCTGAAGGTGTCCGGTTTCGATGAGTTCATTCGCAGTAATGTTATACATTTCCTTCTGCTCTGCAATCTTCGTTCGCAAAAAACAACTTATTGTAAAATAAAATTGAAAAATTTCTTAGAGCAAAATTATATCGATCTATAAGTTCCTCACACGCAATCAAATGAGGCAAATTCCGTGCTTGATTTTTCAAATTTATTCGGGCTTTTAACATTGATTTTTTTGTTGACGGTTGTAATCTAGGCGCCGGTAAAATGTTTGCGAATTAACTGCAGCTATTGATAGTGGGCATGCTGCTTTCTGCACTTCCATCAACATTTTTTATTGAGGGATATTTTGACTAAGTGGGTTTGACTACTTTACAAAGATATTAAACTTGAAAACAATCTGTTGATTGACAGCGTTGGCGGAAGAATAAGCCCAGAATAGCGCAAACAGTGCTAGTTAAAGCGAAAGTAACGCGAATGCTGAGGTTACAGCAATATAGTAAGAAATAAGCTGGCGGAGAAAAACAAAACTGAGATGTTAGAAACGACCAGCTGTCTAAACCAGATATGGCTGGCATCGTATTAATGGCTCATCGCGTAATAAGGATGAGGAAGAATAACGACAAGTGAATTGAAGCAACGACTTATCCCGTCGAACGCACTGTGCTGCTTTATTGATATTTTCAACCTTAAACTTATTCTAGAAACACAACCAAACGGCGGCATTAACGGTAAGTTAAATTTAGGTGGAATTTTGAATCCTATGGTGATTTAAGTCTCTGCAAGTGCAAACAGATGGCAGTGCGACAGAACCACCCAATTCCGCGTCATGCAAAACGGAAATTTGTCTTTAAAGGTGTTACTGCTTATAATTATAACAATTTAGCACTTGGCTAATCAGACCAGCACATTTTAATTGTGGCTTCCAAAAGCGACTAAATTAACATAGTATCCGCCATAGACTGAGAATGAGAATACAACGCTTATTGTTCCCACGCACAAGGCGTTTCGCTGGTTATCGTAAGGTGGATTAAAATAGCTAATTTGGTGGGTTGCAATGGTTTGTACTATTATTGGAGCTGTTGAAAGTTTGATCACATGTCCAGAATTATGTGAATATTGAGAATCAATACCTATGGTAGAGGGGCTCCTAAATTCATTCTCCAAATTGAAGAATATGCTGTTTTTATTGTGGATTTCCAAGTATGACCGAAAATCGTCCGGAAAGAAATAGCAGATGTGCTCGTAAATCAGAATTTATCCGTTGACTCCGTCGAGAAATTTTTGAACGCGTTTGGTTAGGCATTTTTGCAGTAGACAATCGACACGGGGAAAAATAAATAGTGGTGGCATAAAAATTTCAATGACAGTTTGTGACTGGTTAATTAAGATCAAACACATCTGATAACTGCACATAAAGGTCCAAAATATTTGTTTGCTTAATGTTACACATCCGGATGTTTTAATACACCAGTAGTAATAGTAATGAATTTAATGCCATCGCCATAAATCGTTGTGTTTTATTCAGTACAATATATCTTCTGTAGATAGCGAACTCACATGCTCACCTTTCTTCTTTTATCATGAGTGATCTGAGGTTATGGCGTCACCAAGCATAACAATCATCTATTTAATGAGGTCATCGCCTGAGGTTCTACACTATGTTGTGTTCTTGCACTCGACGAAAGTTTATACCCTCAACTGGTTTGTTACTCAGCCTTAAAAGAAGATCATTATCATAAGAGTGTGTTCCAGAAAAATTACAAGCAATTTAAAGGGAAAATTCAAACTAGTTGGCGTCGTTATGCACAAAATTAAACGTCTGTAATAGGTGGCTTGCTTTTGTTGTAGTTGCAGCACCAACCCACGCATCACTCAGTTTTGATAGTGTATGAATTTTCAATAAATTGGTATCGTCACATTTCGAGATTTCTTGAATGCCGCTGCCTTGAAAAGAAAGTTATTTGACAGGCAGGTTATTCGCATGTTTTCGCGCAAACATAGTTTGGCAAACACATATGTCGCCTTGCAATGACAAACGCATTTGTAATGAGGCTACGACACGCAAGCAAATCATGATAACATAAGTGACATTCCATGATTTGGGTCCGCAACAGTAATTAGGTTATTAGTTGGATCGCCCGTGTGCTTACTCACAGGATGCGAGAATATATGTTATTCCAATACACCCACTTTCACCGTCCCCAAAGTTAGATTAGGCATAAAGCTCATGTACCACCTATCAGCCGATAAAGAAGTGTGGCACCTATGTGATTTCAGAGCTCTTACTGACCAAGTAATATATACTACAGGGTGCACAGTATCGTTGAAAGCATTTTAGTGTTGAATGTCATTAACCCGAACACCGCGGACACAACTGAGCTATTGCTCGGTGGAAGTGTTTTTAATTGATTACTGTTTGAGCAGCAAAGTGTGGAAACGCAGCCCTAACAGGAAGTCTGATGTTTAGCCATATTTTTCTTATCTCGAAAGCTTTTCTAGCTCCTTAAACTACGCTGCAAGAAAACTACTTAGGGTGCAGCTTTTGTTGATAAGCTTTTTATCGTCAAAAAGAACGCCCCATGGTCATTTATTCGGATGAAGTGTGAAGACCAAATACAAAAATATCAGCAAAATGTTCGCAGGCTTGCTACCGTTAGACTTATTTTAACCAGTTTCTAAAAGCTTCAAGAACCTGGTTCCGGAAATTTTGCGAATTTACCAGTAGCTTGAATGTAGGGTACATTCTAGAGTGCATTTTCTTACGGAATGCTGTCGTAGTCGCTTACAGTAAAAAATATTAATCTAAACACTGTTGTTGTCACTTATTTTACAGTCCAAATAGGTAAGTGTTGAAATTGTTAGAACTGGCAAAGAAATCTATTTTTGCCTTATAAATACTTCGGCAGGTTAGAGCAAATGTCTAAAAAGGATTCACTTATTGATTTCGAACGATCAGTTTAAGATTCTTACATTTTATTTAAAGCCAGCCGTAAGTTTGCTAAAAAGTTTGAAAAGCGGAAACAAATCGACACACGACAAGTAAAATGATACAACGTCGATGGCAAAATGTAAATGCTACCAAGCGTAGATTAGAAGGGTTAGAAAAGTTTTTGTTAATAGCAGAGTAAAAACGTAAGATATGGCTGCGACTTAAAAGTGAGCAAAATCTTCAACTTTTCCCGAGTGACTGCGTGGGCGTGCGTTTGGGCGTGATTTCAAAAGAAGGAAACAGTGATATTTGGTTTCAGTCGAATAAAACATTTTTCTGCGGACAGTGAAAATAACTGAATCACATGCGACCTTTGATGAACCAATGAATATGTCTCATGCCTTTTGCCGTTGGTCCGTTTTCCGTTCCCCTGTAGAACGTGAAATTTTCAAGTGCTAGTGACATCGCTGTTGCATCCATCTGTCTTGTAATCGCACACTTTGTCTGTTCAGATGTTCACAAAACTATGTTCCCCTTTGAAAAGACAAAGAATGGTTGTAGTTTTTGTGATACTCTGTGAACAAAAAATCATTATGTACAATTCTCTAACAGTAACGAGCAATGTCGTTGACATTATCCGGGATAGAGTTCAGCTTACAAGATTTCACCTTAAATTGAAGAAAATGTGCTACTCTGAATTTTTAGGAGGATCACTTGCTCCAAAACTTTGTCTAGATAACTAACGTATTTGCTCGATTTAATGTGATATTATTTGATCCTCGGCATCAAAAGTGAGATGCGCGTTTGTGTTAAGCACAATGTTTAGCGATGCCTAGTGGTCGCCTTAGGAGGACGAACAGGTGAAGCAAAAACCTGTGATATGACGTAAATGGCAGAAGTCTTTGTCGAAATAGTCGGTTCGTCCATGAGAGCCACGGGGCACTGAAAAGTAAGAGGCCTTTATGGATTTTTCAAAGCAAGTTATAAAACGAGCACAGTTTTGACCTAGAATAACCTGAATTACGAAGGATCACCTAAAACTTTGGCGACTGCGGACTTGGGTGCGATTCGTACACGTAGGTTTCTCAAAGCACACGGTGATTTTCCTTAACGTACAAACGCCGGTTAGTAAGTTCCGCAAGCAAAATTATGAAAATTGCAATAGAAACAAAACGCTGCTTTTGTAAGATGTTCATAAACCGAAGACCAAGCGGATTGTTATAAGAATGTAAAACAAGCACTAAATGACACTATTTAGCGAGTAATTGACAGGAGTTGGAACAATTTCTCACCACACTGCTTCATCGATCATGATGTTGTGCCATGAATTTTAAGTACTCGTTGTTAGGACAAATAGGTTTTACAGGAACATCCACTAAAGTGAGCATAGTCTGCCTAAATCAACACTTGATTTCAGTGAGTAGTGCAATGACAAAGAGCAGCATTTCCTCGGTCTGTCGGTTGTCATGGGAACATAAATATCCCTTTTATCTGCATCAAGTATCTTTCAATATACGCGCGATCTGTTACTGGTGAAAGAATCAGGGCCTGCGCTGCGGAGTTTCTCATAAGAAAACATCAACCGAACGGTTGCAGACCATTGAACAGAAAAGCAAATCTGTCACGTGCATCTTGTTTATAAATACTAAATATCCGTCTTTTTCTAGAACCCGTCTTACTCAACTTTCCGTCGTAAAACGTACTTTCCAAAGGCGCAAAGCGGGGAAATATCACTCGCATGTCTCATGAATAGTTGCCGTTACATTGGTAACGGGATAAGCCTTGAAAATATTCATTGAGGATTTGGACTGTTGCCATCGAATCCTCCGTACTTGAAAGCACTGAAAATTTGCACTATATGACATTCCGGTGACATGGAACGCGCGACCTTCTTTGAACATTCGAACCCACAACCTTTTACGTGAAAGTGGCTGATCGGCAGTGTGCTTGACTGTTCATTACAAAAAACGCATCTTCACTCCAGTCAATTAATTCTACTTAAAATCAGTTCTTATTTCCATTGACACAACGAACTTAAAACCATGTGGCTTATTCTACAGGACGAATTGCAATCTCTAATGTAGAGTAAAGGTTCTCCCGATAACTTGTGCACAAGATACTTGGTCTTTCGTGCCGAATGCAACCAAATTAGCTCAACGTAATATACTATAAAACTTGAACCCAATCGACCTCACTTAATATTGGATGTATTAGACAGCGCGGTGTTTCCTACAAAGGAGGGCCAAACGTTTTTCTGTGCACCATACTTAAGTACACCTACATATGAGCGTCCGAGTGTACGTTTTCAAAAATTCAAATGTAAATTCAAGGCAGATTTGCACACAAATTTCAAATGTTCCGTTCAAATTTAGCTGAGAAATTTGGATTTAAATTATTGATCCCGTTATTCGGGCTATTATCGGCAATCGTGCGAATACGAGCTGGACTGTGGGATTGTTATCTTATATAATTCCGCATCGTTCCATTTATAGAACTTAAGCAAATGACATTCTCGTGGCTATCAAAAGTGGCATAGCAACCAGTCAAGTGACGATGAATTTTAAGCGAACTAGCAAAATCACTCGGTATTGGAAAAAATATTTTTATCTAATTGTTGCAATGCACGTTTATCGTCCTCATCACATAAACATCAAGTTCATGATGATCTCCGATGGGAAAAAATGTGAGCCTTTAAATTTTCCACTCATTCCACCAAATGTAAAGTACCCTTTGCGTGGTGTAACATTAGTTGTTTAACTTCACACAGGTGTGACAGCAAAATAAAGACAACATAGCAGGCTAATACTGAAGCACCTAAGAATTCCGGATAACAGCGGAAAAAATGGGGTATATTCTAAAGGCCCCATGGCAATAAATCGAGACGCTGCATTGCACATTGTTATGCAACTGATTTAGTGAGTGTCATATGGCTCTCCACACTGCCGACCAATCCCCATGAATGGAGAACGGAAATTTTTGTGGGTCTTTTTTACTGCAATCTATGCTGAAAAGTTGGAAAGTACTAAAAGGCTGTTTTACCTTTTTGGAAATCACCATCACTGCATATCCTGCAAACTCCTGGCCAAAAGTTTGGACACTTATCCGTTCGGCCATAAGCATCTAATTTGCTGTACAATTAACTCGTACTTTGACAGCATATAGTAACGCTCATTCTCCAATTACTGGATCTACATCACGCGTTCACACGTTTGGACAGGCTTCTCAAGCAACGACTTCTTAGATAAAAGTTCCACTCATCAGATGAATTTTATTCACCTGAAGCATGAAAACTGAAAAATTGCCTAATATCCTCAGATTTCCAACAGCAAAACACCGGGTTTCATTTGGTATTTACTGAAAGACGTTTCTTAAGCATTTCACACCAATCTAACTGAATCTTCACTGGTAATCCGCTTAATTATTTCTTTCTACTATCCAGCAAAGCCAGAAAACTAGAAAGACAAATCTATGTTTGCTAGTCTTTGTGCAAGATTTTTGTTGCTCCGTTCAAGGTCTACTGCAGTGTCGAGTACCGGCCTATGGTTTTTTTTATTACAACGAATACAGGATTTGGAGAGCTGGATCTCATACCATATCAGTATACCTAATACATCAGTATCACAAGTTGAAACACTCTTTTGGCAATAAGTTGTAATATACCAATAAAAATTGAAAAAAGTACTCTCAGCATATTTACTGAGTAAAACAAAGAACAACCAAGGGGGCTGTTATAGCAAATTAAAGCGCCGGGATGAAAATGATTGTTCGTGAAGGGGCATTATTCGTCACGTTCAAAACCTCGATTAACTTAATATTTCTCTTAAAGTTTCCTGACATTTTACTTAAAAAACTCTAAACATTAATGTTTTAACCTTCTGTTGATCTTTTCGGAATGCCGTCAGGAGGATCCGGTGAGTACAGATTTATTGTTCGTCCTTACAAGCACGATCAAACTTTACGCCGCTAAACTTGCCTAATGGCCCTTAAAACTGAAAAGTTTCAGGTCCTGAATAACAACAACCTAAAATATGTATGCGCTTCTTGTCACATTGCGGCACACTTCATTTCGTTCTAAAACCCAACAAACGCAGTCATACATATGTAATTGGCTTTTTTTTTACAAACCTCTGCACAAACAGCCGGTTGCACTCTCGGCTCTTCTAACTTAAAATTAAGTTCTCGTATAAAAATCAGAGGTCACTGTTTGGATTTGCAAGTGTTTGTTGTCTGTTGGTCATACTGAATCACAGCTTTTGCAAGTTAATGAATGCGTTATTATATCAAACTCGCCATACTCACCATAGTAAAGGCGATTTGTAAGCAGGCTCATTCAACGTGATGCAGGATACTTGCGAATAGATATTTATATTATTCTCTAGGAACGCTTCAATCACCGTTGCCACAAGGTAAGCAGTTAATTTAACAATAAGCTGTATGTATGAAAATGATTTGTTGAGAGACTCCTCAAGTTTTTTTGAAACGCAAATTGCAGGTAAATTTGGGCTTTAGGGAAAATTCTCTTAAATAAACCGGGAGGACAACTTCCCTGGTCTTTTTCATATCCTGGCTTATCTCTTCTGGTTAGTCTGAACCTGAGATTTTCGTTAAATGATTGGCTTTGCTTATCTCGGACCCTTCTTTAGTCGAACTGCAGACACTTGACACAAGTCGCAGGCTTGTAGCTAATTACCCGGCAGTACATGCTAGGCGCACATGATTTAACACCCATGTTTGAGCGAATGTAAGGTCTACGATAATCTCTGTCATACATAACTAATTGAAGACTGTAGAGAACGATTTGTATCTTAGCTGAGCGGAAAGCCGTTTGCTAGTTTACACGTGGTGAATCAGGTTTGTCAGGCACACAGTAGTTGGTGGAAAGCCATAATATTCCTTGCATGTCTGATGACCGCGGTTTAAGCCTAGCCATGTCTAAGAAGTTTCAGTGCTATAGGAATTTATTGGAGAAAAAGGCGAGTTTCCTACTTATTTCTCTTTACGTAGGCTAACCCATTGCAACAAGAGGAAAACAACCTGTCCAAACGGAAGTGGTATAAACGTAAATGTCCCAAGTATCGCAATTAAATACGTCGAAGCTTTCTCTTGCAGGGTTATAAGGTTAGCAGCCTCGGCGTAAATTTTAATGCCACAATCAGAGCATATGTACTTTACTATATTCAATGACACCATCAAGATAAATTTAAATCTGGCAGGTGCTTTGCAGTGCTCGGAAGATTATGACATGAATAATATTTTCCGTCCTAAAGAAAATGAAACCAAACGATGTCAGCGAAGTAATTAACTGACACCAATAACTCAATTTGTAATGGAGGAAAATCGGAAATGCCACAATCAGAGCATATGTACTTTACTATATTCCATGACATCAATAAGATACATTTAAATCTGGCAGGGGTTTTGCGGTGCCCGGAAGATTATGACGTGCATAATATTTTCCTCCCTAAATAAAATGAAACCAAACGATGTCAGTGAAGTAATTAACTGACACCGATAACTCAATTTGTAGTGAAGGAAAATCGGATAACATGGTAAAAAATTGAAGACAATTTTTGAAGTAAAGTAATAATTTGAAAATAAGACCGTGACTGATGACTGCCGGTGGAACAATGTAGCTTATTTTGGCTCAGAAATTAATGCTGTTGTTTAGCTAGTCTCGAGGTATGAGAAGTGTAACAATTAAAACATCGCATTTGGCCGTGAGTAATTTTCTAAAACCATTCATTGTGTTCGAAAGTCTCAGTTTGTGTTCCCTGTAAGTTTACATCTAATGTGTCATTATGTCCCACGAAGAAAGAAATATATATATATATACAAGAAATCTGCACATCCAATAAAGTTTTCAATATCTAAATTGAGAACGTCATATTACCTTACGTCTATTTGTTTGTTTTTGTTTCGCATGTGTATCAAAACTGCCATTGGGTGTTACATCTTTCTACCACTGAAAGCAGATTCTTATTTCAGGAAATTGGTTCTATCGAACAAAATTACCGCTTCTCAGCTACTCTATAGAATGTCAAACACGTTCAGGTGCTTCAAGGATATTTGAAGGAAAACAATGTTATTTTACGGAATGACCTAGTAAAAGCGGATATTTGGTCTTTCGAAAACAGCGCAACCGCAAGAACCTAATAAATCATGTCACCCACGGTGGATATTTGGCATGCAACAAAGAGGCTTTGGTCTATTGTCACCTAATGTGATAAAAAATTTGAAAAATGCGCGTTGTTTAATTCCCTCTATGACAGTCCAGCTCAGCAAACATCAGGAATGTTAAAACGTACTTTTGTTTTGGAGTATTTCTACGCTTGTGACAAACCTATAGAGTTATTTCATTAGCTCTTTCTGTTGGTATGTTATGATAGATTTGGTGTTATGTCATGTTGATTTTCCAGTGGTTTGCTTATCACAGCAGTTGAAAAACCGATCATGTTTCGTCAGAAATGTCACTGCGTCTGAAAAGGCGAAGGTGTGAATGGGATAGAAACCAGTTGACACACTTGACAATACACACATACACACAATTGACACACGTAGTCCTGCGTGTTTGTTTGTCAGCCGGTATTAAGATCACATTCTGATGTGATAACATACGGTGGTTAAAGTTTTTCCTCAGTGTGTTTCAGTATAAAAAAATTGGTATGACGTCTAAGTCGCTCAAAGCAAAATCCTCTGGAGAAGAGAAAAACTTCTTCGCGCCATGGAAACCGGGCCCAAATGCTAAACGGAGATGTAGTTGGTTCATATTTTTACCTACGTTTAGCTTGTTCAAAAGGTGAGTACAAAATTACCGTACGTCTATATTGGGTCATTTTAAACCTCAACTAACTAATTGCCCTCACTTAAAAGCAGGGTTTGCGCAAGTTGCATTTATCACCGGTTAATGAATGAAGTAGCCGCAATTGTTACCTTTGAGAACCACACCAAAAAGGCAGAGTGATGCTAAATCGTTCCTAAAATCTGTCCTGTGGTGAAGATTACCCGCTTTGAACGTTTTCAGTTTGGCCCACACAAAATTAATTATGCGGCTGCAAAATGGCTTCCGCTTTAATGCATTTTATGTCGGATTATTTTATCTCCCTGCAGACAAGTTGGTCTGTCACGTTGAACACACCGTGCCAATTTGTTTGCCGCCTGAGGCGCCGTTATGCGCAACACGAATAGTTTACAAGAACTTAGGCACGGTCAAGTGCTCTGACACATTTGAACAGAGGCATCTATCTAGGATGCATTTACTCTTTCACAGCTACCACTGAGCAGCATGCACCGGAGATTATATCATGCCAAATTTTCCGCTGTTTTACGAATCCGAACCTCCTATTTCTGTTTTTCTGGAGTGGCTTTGTTTTAAAATTTTCTTCCTGTTTATTTGCTTCCATGTGCTGGAAAGCTCCCGCCAAGCATATCGTCTAGGAACCCGAATCGCTTTTGCCACTCATAGTGCTTTTGCATTGAAAGAACGGAAGAAAACGCGCACTGCCTAATCTAAGTCTACTCTTAAGTCATTATACCCTAGAGTGCTGGTTGGAAGCTTGACGTTTGAGTGATATTTTTATTTCAAAGCACTTCTCACATTTGTAAAGGCCACTATTTGTGAATTTCTTAATGACAGCGGGAGAAACAAAAGGCCAAACATCCATGAACAGCTAACTAATGATCACTGGAACCTTATAATCGAAAACGCTGATCGTATAGGGCGAAGTCCTGGAGGTATGACGTGGCATAATAGTTCACCGTCCCGAATATTTTAACATTCTGAGGGATACAATAAGCTGGTGGGTATTAATTTGTATGTCTTGAGCTTATTACAGGTAAGGTATACCGTCTTCATTGACCTAACATATGCTATATTACCTACAATATACTGCAAAATTTACTAAACCCGGAAACTCTTTTGCTGATATGGACACAAAACCTCATTTAGAAAATTTTGTTGATGTTGCACAAAATTTGTGTAGAAAAAAGCAGAACAATGTTTTGACTTGAGGAACTTGGTACATTTCTAACCGTACGATGTTTTAGGCTAACTGGCAGTTTTTTCGTTAGGATGGAAAACGAGCATGTTGAAATATTTGATCGTATAGTTCCAAAATGCAAATGGTTTTGTTTTCTTTCGCACCACTAAGCAACTTCTGGCGAAAGTACAGGATGCATTTCTATAGCAGGTGAGTTTTGGTACTATTGTACCCGTGCCGATAAAGTGCTGAAAAGCTCGGGACCTGAAAACCTTGGTTTTACTGATGTTGCTATATTTCAATATTCATTTTGGTGATAAAATCTGAAAGTGCATAATTTTCGCTAGTATGTTGGCAAAAAATGAAAGAATGTGACAACCACCAAATGAGGTTAAATGTTTTATCCATATTTGATTTATAATATTTCATTCCGGGGTTCTTCACTACCCTACCTAATGCATTGGATTGTACACCTCTTCCGCAATTGAAGAAATTGCACTAAATGACACACCTAAGTAGTTAAACGCAAATTACTTTCGAATGTAATCTATTTCTTCGTTTTTGCGGTAGGCTTTGTGTTCACCCGCGTGACTTTGTTGAGTTGCCTTGACATTTTTGAGATTTTATGATAAGTGCACCAGTGAATTATGACTGCCTACCAGTTATGCTTGTTTTGGAATAACAACGCAGACAACACAAAAATATCTGACTTTATTTATCAACTATTTGATGAGTTTTCATTTTTCAGTTCCCGTATATGATAAATTTAGATGGGTTGCAGCCGGCTTAATTTGCGATTAATTAACAAAACACATGTAAATTACTTTTTATCGCTATTTTTGAGTGCCTTATGAGAAAACGAATATTGATATGGACGTTGCTATAAATTACATCAGCAAATGTTTTTTTACCTGATGCGCGGAATTGAAATTCAAAAAGCAGTATCTTTCAGCTTGATTTATATCTTTCCAGCAGGAGCTGATTAATCAAATACAATCTCTTGCAGAACACGAAAAAATGGTATACATTTGTTGTGAAATGTAACTTGTTGAGGTTTCTTTTATTGTGATTCTCGTTCTAGCCCCGGCAAAGCTAAAACCAAGTAAGAAGTCCGACGAATATTGCTTTGTTTTGCTGACAAATTGCAATACCCAGTAGGACTACGAAAATTTTTCATCGGTGCGGAATGGTAATGGGAATCTAATATGCCATCTCTCCTGATGTTCAGATTCAGAAAGTGAAACAAACAGGGTCAGCACACTCATAGTCAACAAAGCTACATTTACAAAATGAATACTTCGGTCTTCCATGCACACGAAGAATTGGTTGAACTTATCACAGGACAGAAAATTGCAAGTGTTTTGCATACACTTGAAAGGGTTTGTACTCGTAGTGAAATTAACATGTCTATCTAGCTGAAAATAGCGACATTAAAGTTCATTGTAGATATGCAAGTGATTTAGAAGCATCTCATAACAGCAAACAGTCTTGTATAGAATGGCAAATCAGTATTGTGATTTGACGCTGGCCAAATTCACCAGGAACACATTGAATTTTGCGAAAAAAGGCTAACATATCAAGAAATGAATGATTTGAAACGGATCGCCTCCAAAAAATAAAGGTTACGCTCTCTAATGATTGCATGTCGTGAAGTGACGATGTATTCAACATATGTCTGCCGTTAAATAAATTAAAATAAAACGATGAAATTCACCATACATCCGACATTTAAGAGTGGGCTACGTAATTTCAAGTACATTCCGCATTATAAGCTTGATAAATTTTTCACTGTTGTTAGTAAAGACAAAAATTAAAACGGGTACGTGGTTCACATTTTATTATCATATTGTTGCATGAAAAAATGTACAAACTTTAATTGACGGGATTCTTGCGTCAGGCCCACATGTATGCATCCACTCGTTGAAATAATATCCTGAGTTTTTACCCGTAAGTGATCCAATACCTCAAAAAATGGCACGTAAATAGAAAGCTTCAAAGATAAAAGAAGCAGTCAGTAAGGTTTCCCGGCTTGTTACGTGTTTTTCAGTGCGTTTGGTAACAATCTTTCTAAAAGCGTAAATGA